TAACTGTTAAAGTGTAAAACTAATGAATAATAATAATAACAGTATATCCTACAATTTAAAATACATATTTGAATTATCCTAATGAAATATAATACACGTATTTAATACATTAATATTAATAAATATAAATTTTTAGGAAAATAATTAAAATAATTTTATTCTGTTTACAGATTATGATCTTAACTATATTTATTTTATACGTATTCTTGTCAATTATAAATAAAGGTATGTATTTTTTAGATTAATAACTTCAATAAATATCATAATAAGATTGTTTATTAAAAATAATAGCCTAATCAGAATTTATTTAGTCTTAAATATTTTCTGGATTATCCTGATTCATAATAATTGCTTGTTTTTATTCATAAATATAAAAACGGTGTAAATAATATCCCTTCCTTATGTGTATACACAATAAACTTTCACTGTGTACCGTATCTTTACTACAGTATGTAACCTAAACAATAATAGATTACGTACAGTACATCATAATGCACATCTATTACTGCAATATAGTATAAGCAGACACTTTACATATACTATATACAGTAGACTTCCCTATAACGCGGGTTCCAATAACGTAGATTGCTATGATGCGGCGAAAAAATTGCGGCAGTATTCGTATAAAGAGACGCGTAAAACGTGGTAAAATGTCATCGCCAACTCGTCATCGCGGACGAGCAGCCGAACTACTTTCCGCCGCCAGCGCCACGCTACAGAGAGTTTAGGCTGGTAAGTTGAGTTTACTATCGTGTATCGTCTGTACAGTATGTAAATTAGGTATCGTAAGTCTAATACAGTACTGTAATTTTATACATTTCTTGTGAAAGAAACATTTCTTATTCAACGGCCATTAATATTATTTATATTAATGATGTCTCCAAAGTTCAACGAAGTTTTCGCAGAAAAATAACATCAGAAATCGCGGCCGCGGTTTGCTGCGCTGTTCCGCGACAAAAAACAAGTTTAAGCAACGGCGATGTCGAACGGTGCACACTCGGTAAGTAATCCTACAATTTTTTGTTTATAGCGTAGTTTATACGGATTATTTCCAAAAA